GCCAGAGAAGGGAGAATAAGGAGGAGACACTACTTCAGGGGGACCAGAGTCTAGGCTTAGGAAGGTGAGCAGGCTCTGATGCTATGTAGGCAGCGGCAGCACAATCGTATGAGCATTCTCATATACTGGACTGCACACAGAAAAGCGGTTAAGCGGGGTAAAGCGGGGACTGTCGATGGCTTCGTGGAAGAGCAGTTACTGCTCTTGCAGAAGACCTGAGTCTGGTTTCGGCACCCACTTTGGGCAGCTCACACCCCTCTAAGCGAAGCTCCCAGGGATCCAGGGGCTTCTGACCTCCACAGGCATGCACACAAGTGGTATTCATTGACATACATACACACATGTACACAAAAATATAAACTTTTTTAAAGTGGTTAAGTGGTAAATTGTAATTTTACTACTCACACATGCGCGAGTGCACACACACACACCAAATGGTACATGAGTCTCAGCTATGTAAAATAGTGTTGTTTAATATTATCAGTGTGATGGTTAATCTTCTTCACCCTCCCCCCAAGACAAGGTTTCCCAGAGATTGGGTTGGCTGGCTTCTTGTGCTCTTTGAGATTAAGGAAAAATTTGCTTTTCTAACTGAATGTGAATTTTACAGGGAGATGCTTGTTTTATGAGCTGTGCACTATTTATTTGCTGCCAGTTTTATTTTATGTGATGCAGTTTATGTTTTTTTCCCTTTTTTAATTTTAGCTTCTTGGAAACCTTTATTTTAATTTTTTGTTTGTTTGTTGAACAGGGTCTCACTATGTAATTCATAGTGGCTGTCCTGGAACTAGTTCTTTAGACCAGGTTGGCCTCAAACTTACAGACATTCACCCACCTCTTCATTGAAAGTGCTGGAATTAAAGGCAAGCCCCACAACATCTGGCTGTGATGATTAATCTTGTCAACTTGACTGAATTAAGAGACACCTAAGGGGCTGGAGAAGATGGCTCAGAGATTGAGAGTACTGGCTGCTCTTCCAGAGGTCATGAGTTCAGTTCCCAGCAACCACATGGTGGCTCACAACCATCTAAAATAAGATCTGGTGCCCTCTTGGGTGAGCTGCCCAATCTGGTGCAGGCAAACACTATATATAACAAATAAATAAATATCGAGAGAGAGAGAGAGAGAGAGAGGGAGGGAGGGAGGGAGGGAGGGAGGGAGCCAGGACCACACAGAGAAATCCTATCTCGGAAAACCAGGAGAGAGAGAGAAGCACCTAGGAAATTAGTCAAAAATATTCAGTCTCTGTTCTGTGAAGATAATGAAGGCTCTGATGATGGTTTCACCCAGTGATGACCTTGGAATTTGTGTAGACTGTTAGGAGGTGTTGGAATGGCCACTTCGAGGGGTATGTGGTTCTGTCTTGCCCTACCCCTTCTTGTTACTGTCCTCCTCTGCCCTTCTCTGTGAGTTCCTCTGCCACTCTGTCCACATGGTGATGAACTGAAACTATAAACATCCCTTGACCTATTGGTATCGCAGAGGACTCAGGACTGGTTCCCAGCACCCATGCGTTCACTCACAGTCACCTGCAATTCAAGTGATCCATTGCCCTTTTCTGACCTCAGCAGGCACGAGGCATACACATGGTGCGTATACATACGTGCAGTCAAAACACTCAACACGTAAATAAATAGGAGGAGGAGGAAGGATAAAGGAGAAGAAACTGAGTGTGGTCAAGCCATAATAATTCCAGCATTCATGAGGCATAAGCAGGCAGACCTCTGAGTTTGAGGTTAGCCTAATGTACATGGTGAGGTCAGTCAGAGCTACATAGTGAGATGCCATCTCAAAGAAAGAAAAAAAAGAAAGTGTATGTATGTTTTTGCCTTTTAATCATAGTACTCAGGGAGTGGTGAGGCAGGAGGATCATGACTTGACCAGGTGGGGCTATAGCAAGATGCCGTCTCAAAATAAAAGTATCGTGGGTGGGAAACACGTGATGGGACAGCAGCCGTGCAGAGGAGCAGCACGGATTAGTAAGCTTTGCTGGCACCGCATTTTGCAGTAAAAAGCATGCACACTCCCCACACAGGAAACGAACACAGTCGTTTGGGTCATGTGCCTAGGCACCAAAGGCTTTCTTCTTCTAGCTACTGAGAAGATATGCAGCTTGCAAGATCTTGGGGATAGGAGCTGGAAAGACGGCTCAGTTGTTAAGAGCACTTGCTGCTATTCTAGAAAGCCCAAGTTAAGTACTCAGCACCCATGCCCAGTGGCTCACAATCACCTGTAACTAGTTCCAGTGATTGTATGCCCTCTTATGGCCTCCACAGGCTCCCCAAACATAACACAGCATACACTTAACACATGCACACATGTGTACTTTAATACGATAAATCCAATCCAGGAACAGATACTCCTTTTTATTATTAATTTATTTTTTACATTCTAATCCCAGTTCCTCTTCCCTCCTCTCTTCCTGCTCCCCCCACTTTTTCCCCCTACCTTCCATCTGCTCCTCCGAGAGGCTAAGGCCTCCCCTAGGAAGTCTACTAAGTCTGTCCCATCATCTCATTGAGGCAGGACCAAGGCACCTCTCCACCCCCCATACCCCTATGTCTAGGCTGAGCAAGGTATCTCTCCATATAGAATGGGCTCCACCAAGTCAGTTTGTGCTTTAGAGTTAGATCTTGGACCCACTGCCAGTGGCCTCCTATATTGCCCCTGACACACCATTGAGTCTAGTTTGGTCTTATGCAGGTTCCCCATTTGTCAGACCTGAGTCAGTGATCTCTCACTAGGTTGGGTCAGCTGATTCTGTGGGTTTCCCCATCATGGTCTTGACTCCTTTGTTCATATTATCTTTCCTCCCTCACTTCGATTGTACTCCAGGAGCTTGGCCCATTGGTTAGTTGTGGATTTCTGCATCTGCTTCCATCTGTTTCTGGAAGAGGGTTCTCGCTTCTTTATGTCTGGTATCCACTTATGAATGAGTACATACTATATTTGTCTTTCTGCATCTGGGTTACCTCACTCAGGATGTTTTTTTCTAGTTCTGCCCATTTGCCTGTGAATTTTAATGTTGTCGCTTCCTACTGCTGAGTAGTACTCCATTGTGTAAATATACCTCATTTTCTTTATCCATTCTTCCGTTGAGGGGCATCTAGGTTGTTGCCAAGTTCTGGCTATTATGAATAATGTTGCTATGAACATAGTTGAGCAAATGTCCTTGTGCCTCCTTCGGGTATATGCTCAAGAGTGGTATTGCAGGGTCTTGAGGTAGATTGATTGCTAATTTCCTGAGAAATTGCCATACTGATTTCCACAGCGACTGTACAATGGAGCAGTGAGGAACAGATATTCTAATGGAGAAAGACAAACAACAAATTAATAAGATACTTTTAGGGACTGGAGAGATGGGTCAGCAGGTAAGGGCACTAGCTGCTCTTAGAAAGGACCCTGGTTCGATTCCCAGAACCCACATGGTGGCTCTCAACCATCAATCCAGTTTTAGGGGATCCAACAGGCACACATGTGAAGCACATACATACAGGCATGTGGATGAAACATTCATACACAAAATCTAATGACATTTTTCAGAAAATATCATGGTATAAGGAAACTGTGATAAGTTCATATCTTGTTTTTTTTAATAGGTTCATATTTTAATTATGGTATTTTCATCAGCATATACTTGTGCCCTTATGTGGCAGACTGTGTACTTTGAATATGTGAAGGTTATGCATCAGTGATTCTTCGGTTAAGCTCTCTTTTATTTTTTTATTTATTTTTTTATTTTTTATTTTTTTTTGGTTTTTTCGAGACAGGGTTTCTCTGTGTAGCTTTGGAGCCTATCCTGGCACTCACTCTGGACGACGAGGCTGGCCTCAAACTAACAGAGATCCACCTGCCTCTGCCTCCGGAGTGCTGGGATTAAAAGTGTGCGCCACCAATGCCCGGCTAAGCTCTCTTTTAAAAATAAAATAAGCCAGGCAGTGGTGGCGCCTGCCTTTAATCCCAGCACTTGGGAGGCAGTGTCCGGAGGATCTCAATGAGTTCAAGGCCAGCCTGGTGTACAAAGTGAGTTCCAAGACAGCCAGGGCTACATTAAAGAAACCTTTTCTTGAAAAAAACCAAAACAATATTTTAAAACATACTAGGCAGTATGGAATTCATTCAAAATGTGGTCAGAGACTTTCTAGGATTATGTTTGCACTGAATACCAACAAGGGGCCATCCATGCCAAGTCTTCAGGCAGAACCATCTTGTTGCTTGTTGAGGAAACAAGGCAGCCAGTGTGGCTGATACACATTGAAGATAGTGGGAAGCTAGCTCAGGCATTGCCTTATACTCCATGGACAGTGAATCAGAGAAGCCAGCTGCCCAAGTGCCCCTCCCTCCCTTCCTCCCCACCCCCTTTCCTCCCATATCTCTTAAGACTCAGAGCAAACCCCCTGGTTCCCTTTCCCCTCAGAACTTGATCCTGAGCTTGGTGATCATAAAAGAAGAGGAGTACACTGACTGACCTCACCGTGATATCATCATAGGGCCAGATTCATACAAGCCCAAACACTCTGAGAGTTAAAGAGGAGAATGTGAAGTTCTGGGCCATTGTGGGAATTCTGTTTCCTCTGTGCATGGAGGTGGGGGGAGGGAGGGAGGGTGTTAGAGTATTAACCAGTGAAGAGGCCCTCGTTATGCTTTGGCTACAATTGGAAAAGCATCACGGGAAGGGGAGGAAGGGGCAGGCAAAGGGACAGCTCTGAAAGAAGAAGCTGTTGACTAGTGCTGTGTGATTTATACCCATGTAACTGAAACAATAAAGACTGGAAAGTAGAAATTTAAACAAAGAACCAGGGCAAGCCAGGTGTGGTGGCAGCACACCTTTAATCCCAGGAGGCAGAGGCAGTCAGGCACCAAGCAGAAGTGTGACCAGCATCCTAGTGTGTGGCCTAATGTGATGGCTGCTAGGCATCCAGGTTGAGTGTAAGTAGAATGGGAGTGAAGATGTGACTCCAGGTCAGCTTTTACATCCCTTATGTTCTCTCTCACTGCAGCTTTTCCTTCCCTCCATGAGGAAGAAGCCAGCTCTGGCTGATGGCGGCAATCCTGACGGTGATCTCCTCCAGGAACACTGGCTGGTTAATGACATGTTCATCTTTGAGAATGTGGGCTTCACCAAGGATGTGGGCAACATCAAGTTTCTGGTCTGTGCAGACTGTGAGATTGGACCCATTGGCTGGCATTGCCTAGACGACAAGAACAGTTTCTATGTGGCCTTGGAAAGAGTTTCCCATGAGTAACTGAGGGGACTCAGCTGTAAAACTATACAGCTCTCCCCCCCTCCCCCCCAGAACTGACAGTGAACCTGTGGTGACTGCTGTGCTGGCAGTCTTCTCGGTACTAATACAAATGATAAGCACCGATGTTTGCCCTTGAACTTGCAGAGGGCCGTCCTGCTTCCTTCAAGCCTCAGTGCATGCCTCCCACTTAGTCCTCTATGCATCACAACTGTCCTAACCCCCACCTCCCCGTTTTGGAACATGGAAGAACATGGGGGTACTCTACAAAGTGTAGTCTGGTCCTTGGCACTCTTCCTGGGCACCTTCCAGGGCCTGCTCCCTGCTCGACAAGAGCAGCAGTCAACTTTTTAGCCATGATAACAGTAAAAACATGCTCACTTGCTAATAGTTGAAACTCCACCTTTTTCTCATTCAAGAAGCCAGGTGTAATAGGGACACACCTGCAATCCTACCTCTTGGGAGGTGGAAGCAGGAAGATCAGGAATTCAAGGCCAGCCTCAGCTATATAATGAATTGTAAGCCAGCCTGGGCTATGTGAGACGTCTCAGAAAACATAAAGCATACAAGTATTTGGAGTGACTTCATGGTATGTGACCTACTTGTCTACAGCAGTGTATTCTTTTTAAAAGTAAAACATTTACTAATGTCAGTATTTAAACCACTAATTAGAAACACATTACTTTTGAGACCCTTGGTTCCGGGTTGATAGTGACTTTTTATAGTGAAGATGAATGTGGCCCTTCTTCCTGAAGATCTTGATTCGGTTTCTCTTTTTATTAGTGCCTCCCTGCTGCGGTCTGCATTGTTAACCCCTAGGGAAACTCAGCCCTAACTGTTTGCCAGGCTGTCTTGGAGTCAGAGTGGAGGGGATAGGATTTACATAGGGTAGCTTAGCCTAATCACACCTGGGTTTACTAGGAAAGATTTTCTTAATGGGTGCTGTCATCATTCATTAAATATAGGTATACCAACACAGGATGCAAACGCTTTCTACCAAGACCTCCATTGTTATGGGGTTGGGATCACCTTTTCTTATTAGCCAACTTAAACCTTCAACGTGATTTCCAGTTACTTTGTCATTTCTCTTCTGAGGTGACTCAGTAGTTTAAAAGGACTCTGTATAAAACAGTGCAAATACATCATCCTTTTCTCTGGATGCCTAAAATTGAAATATGGACTAAGTAGGGACCTTGTTATTCCTTACAATACCAGCAACTTGGGAGGTCAAGGCAGGTCAAGGTCAGCCTCAGTTACATACCGAATTCAAGGCCACCCTGTACTACACCAGCTTGTCTCAAACAAACAAAAAACAACAAATAGAAGTTGGAAAGATGGCTCAGCAGTTAAGAGTGTTTGCTGCTCTTTCAAAGGACCCGAGTTCAATGCCTGTAAGGCCAGGTCAAAGGGGATCTAAAGTTGCTTGCACATGTATGATGTACATGTAGATAAGCAGGCACACAGTAAAAATAAGTAAATAAAAATTTTATAACTTAAAAAACAAAAGTTCTGGCTGGGTAGTGGTAGTGTGAGCCTTTAATCCCAGCACTGGGGAGGCAGAAGCTGGCAGATCTCTGTGAGTTCAAGGCCAGCCTGGTCTACAGAGCAAGTTCCAGGACAGCTTGGGTTGTTACACAGAGAAACTCCCTCTGCATCTGTTTCCTGGCTATTCTTTCCTCACTGAAGTATTATAAGGGCTCCCTCTTAAAGTACAGGCCCTGGGCACAGTTTTGCCAGCACTGGCTCACAATCTGAAGAGGCTCTAATGGCAAACGAGAGACCATGTTTTCCAAACAAATAAGCACACCTACCTGAATATGGTAACAGTTGAGACTGACCAGCTCGGGTCAGAAGGAACAAAACAAGCAGATGGGTCTAGGGACACATGGCCCCTCACCTCACAAGTCAGAGATCTAAACTGAACTAGGCTTTTAACTCATGCCCCCTTTTTAAACCACAGAAACAATAGGTTTATTGTATATCAATGTAAAAATCAGTATAAAGTTCTAATTAACTCATACTTCCATTGGGCAGAGCTTGCCAGTAGTAATGTGTATGTCCTCAATGTCTTTCTATGTGCAAACGTAGTTTTCTAAACAAATATGAGGTCATACTGCACTCATTTTTATCTTGTTGCTTTTCATTTAACAAAACAGGAACATTTTCCTTGTCAGTAGACACACAGCCATGAACAATACCAATGCTCCCTTTTATTGCTAGGCTGTAACTTTAGTAATCCAGTTGTGTTGCCTACAGTTGCTCGTAACACTGACACAGCACAAAAGGGTATTAACTGTATTTCCCATCTCATTTCCTCGGCTTGTACTAGAAGAAGTGCAGTTGTAGGGTGGGCTTGTCATCAGATCTTTGCCAAATGAACACAATCTTGGAAGCAGCCTGTCAGTCTACTCTCCCTTCTGGAACTCGGGTTTCTGCTCCCTTACTAACACTGGGTATTTTTTTTTTTAATCATTAAGAAACACTTGCCACTTGCATTTTTTAAAGCATCTTATTTGAACTTATTTCTGATTTAAAAAAAAAATTAATGAATGAACGAAAGAAACTTGGCCATATTCTTATTTTTGTTTGTTTTGAACTGTATAGACCAAGCTGGCCCCAAACATAACTTGTTTCCTCTTTCTAGAACTGCCAAATGTTGACCCAGTGACCAAAATAAAGTCATTTAAGCAGTGAAGCCAAGTCCTGTCTGTCTATGGCAGAATACACAATTTGTGAAGAGCAGCTGGGAGCTGCGCCCTGAGCAGCGGTGGTCAGCTTGCGGTCTGTCACCGGCTGGCTCATCCTTAAGGTGCTCTATAAAACAGTGTCACCTCGTTCTCTCCTGTTATAGGTCCTCAGGTAATACTTGCAATTCAACTGCACCCTGCTTTAGGAGAATAGAGGTAACGAGTGGTTGCTCTTGTGGGGTATGGTGAAGACTGCTCAGACATGGGTTTAAGCCAATAGAAAGTCTTTATTAGCTGGCTGGCAGTTGTTCAGCATCCCAGTGCAGCACTGAGCCTTCTTCAGGGTGAGCTTTTTTTTTTTAAGATTTTATTTATTATGTATACAATATTCTGCTTCCATGTATATCTGCCCACCAGAAAAGGGCACCAGACCTCATAACGTATGGTTGTGAGCCACCATGTGGTTGCTGGGAATTGAACTCAGGACCTCTGGAAGAGCAATCAGTGCTCTTAACCTCTGAGCCATCTCTCCAGCCCCCCAGGGTGAGCTTTTAAACACAGAAACCATATCCTGGGTTGACACACTTCAGTAAAGAACAGCCAGGGGGCTGGAAAGATGGCTCAGCGGTTAGGAGCACTGGCTGCTTTTCCAGAGTACCCAGGTTCAATTCCCAGCGCCCAATTGACTGCTCACAACTGTCTATAACTCCAGTTCCAGGTAATCCAGCATCCTTATACATATATGCAGGCAAAAAGAAATAAATTATACAAAATAAAAACAGCCAGAAGTGGAACTACAGAAGTCAAAAAGCAAGGTTAGTACATTAGAGACTTTCCCAGAACTATATATAGACTTGGATGGATTAGGTCTTTCCTTTAGTTTTGGCAGGTGGTGCTGTCTACATGTTGATTTTACAGTCTGAATGGTACTTCCACCATGGAGTCAGTTGTGCTAAGGTCTGGGGTCCTGCTAAGTAAGGCCTGGTGCCCTATTAAAACATCCTGCCATTCCAGGTTGGATATACAGGTCCTTGGTAGGGGGCATCTGTGTAGCGTGTGCCAGTCTGGCTATAGCACCCAGCAAATCAACAGGAAAATCCCAGCGGTTGCTACGAGTGCAACTGACATTGCCAAGTCCTACAGAATTATTATTTGCAAACAGAATTGGTTTAGAAAGATGGTTTAGCAATTAAGAGTTGCTTGCTGCTGTTACAGAGGACCCATGTTCAAATCACAGCAACCATACGGTGGGAGCCCACAACTGTGTAACTCCAGTTGCAGAGGAACTGACACCCTCTTCTGGCCTCTTCCAGGACCAGGCATGAATGTGTTACACAGACATACATGCAGACAAAAAACTCATAGCTATAAATTAAAAACAACAACCTCACAGAATCAGCTGGGCATGGTGGCACATGGCCTTTAATCCCAGCACCTGGGAAGCAGAGGCCCGCCTGGTCCACATAGCAGGTGCTAGGCCAACACACCTTTTCTTTTTTTTCTTTTTTAAGATTTATTATGTGTACAGTATTCTGTCTGCATGTATGACCGAAGGCCAGAAGAGGGTACCAGATCTCACTACGAATGGTTGTGAGCCACCATGTGGTTGCTGGGAATTGAACTGGAGACCTCTGGAAAAGCAGCCAGTGCTCTTAACCACTGAGGCATCTCTCCAGTTCCTGTAAATCCCTGTCTTAAAGGAAAAAAAAAAAAAAAAAAAAAAAAAAAAAAGTGTTATCCTAGGAAGCTTATCCTGAGGGGAAAAAGAAAAAAAAAAAAAAAAAAAAGGTGCTTCTCAAAGACTGGAAAATCAGGTCTTTCTCATCCAGTCTTGATAAGAGGTAGGGAAAGGAAGTGGGCTCATGTAGGCACCATCTTTAATTACATTTGTAATTCACTCTTGGGAAAGCTGTGCAGTCTTGACCCCGATTCAGAACGAGCAGTAAAGCACAGTGCTTACTATTTACTTTGACCTCCAATTCCCCTTCCCGCCTCCCCCCACCCCAAGACTCATCTTCTATAGGATAACTTGTAGGAGTTATCACTTTCCACTGAGTAAGTCTTAGGGATCAAACTCGAGTCACCAGGCTTGTTGGCAAATGCCTTTGTCCTGAGCCATCTTGATGGCCGTATGTTGACACTTCACTACTCACTGGACAAGATATTCTTGTTCCTACAAAGTCTGTCCATCTTCTTTTGCCCTTCCCTAGATCAAACTGACAGTGGCTATCATTTTAATTTATAGTTTTTTTTAATGACTGTGTGGTAGGGTACAAATAGGCTTATCAGGATACCCTAAATGTCTTAAATTCAAGCTGACCTTCGAATTACAGCGAGTTGGAAACATTTTGGAATATCTTAAATTCTTAGGGAATTTTGTGGAAGCAGTGTGTTTGCAATGGCACAGGAGCTGAGATACAGGTGACTGCTGACAACTGTGGTGATATTTTGCTTATGAAGATCAGAATGCATAGAGGCCAGGCAGTGGTGGTACACACCTTTAATCCCAGCAGCCACACTAGTTATCCACAGAAGCTGGGTGGTGGTGGCGTTTGCCTTTAATCCCGGCACTAGAGAGTTATATAAGACAAGCTCAGGGTCTCATTTTGGTATTCAGTGTTCAGTCTTTGGCATTGCAGTCTCAGTCTGAGGAGCAGTGCTGTTTGGAGAGGCAATCAGAGGACATGATCACCCCTTCGGTCTGAGCATTGGTAGAGGTGAGAATTTTAGTGGCTGGCCACCTTGCTTCTTTGACCTTCAGCTTTAACCCCAATAGCTGTCTCTGGGTTTTCTTTTTTTTTAATTATTTATTTAACTTTATTTTATGTGCATTGTTATGAAGGTGTCATATCCTCTGGAACTGGAGTTAACAGACAGGTGTGAGCTGCCATGTGGGTGCTGGGATTTGAACTCAGGGCTTCTGGGAGAGCAGCCAGTGCTCTTAACCACTGAGCTGTCTCTCCAGTCCTGTCTCTGGGTTTTCATTATTCATGCTACAGACAACATGGCTCAGAGGGTAAAGGCCTTGCCTGGAAAGCCTGAGAACTTGAGCTCAATCCTGAGAATCTAGAAGGGAACCAATTCCTGACAGTTGTCCTCTGACTTTGCATGCATTCCCCCAAACACACACACACACACACACACACACACACCAATAATAATCATAAAATTAGATTTATTTAAGAGGTGAGAAGCTGGGTGTAGTGGCATATAACTTTAATCACAGTGCTCTGGAGGTAGAAGCAGGCGGATCTCTGAATTAGAGCCAGCCTTGTCTGCCTGGTACCTTACAACAACATAGCAAGGCCTTGTCTTGATAATACAAAATAGAAAGGGGTGAGAGATATAAAACTTAAGCTTGGAGGCAATTCCGACAACATTACTAAATCATATGCCCCTAAAAGGCTTAGTTTACACTAGTTGGATGTAAAGTGTATCACAAGAGAAAAGGTTGTGTAGTTTCCACAAGACACTGGTGAATGCCCATTTCCAATAGTCTGTGGGCTACAGTTGACTCTGTAGTTTGGGCTACAGCTGACTGTTCAGCTGGAAGGGAAGGACGTCTTCAATTGGCTGAACTCTACTAGCAGGTACAGAGTTTGAGGAAGAGATGACAGTATTGAGTGGATGACTTCAGTTTATTTTATTTATTTATTTATTTATTTATTTATTTATTATTGGTTTTTCGAGACAGGGTTTCTCTGTGTAGTTTTGGAGCCTATCCTGGCACTGGCTCTGGAGACCAGGCTGGCCTCAAACTCACAGAGATCCGCCTGCCTCTGCCTCCTGAGTGCTGGGATTAAAGGCATGTGCCACCAACACCCAGCCAGTTTATTTATTTTTTTAATAAAAATTTATGACTTTAACCTTTTTTTTTTCCCCCTGAGACAGGATCTCACCCCAGGGTGGCCTCAAACTCACTTTGTGGCTAAGTATGACCTTGGATTTCCAATCCTTCTGCCTTCATCTCCTAAATGCTGGTACTGAGCTGCATTCCTCAGCCAGAGGCTCCTTTTTCATATATTTACCTATTTATTTTTGTTTTTCGAGGCAGGGTTCTCTGTGTAGCTCCTGGCTGTCCTGGGACTTGCTCTGTAGACCAGGCTGGCCTCAAACTCAGAGATCCACCTGCCTCTGCCTCCCGAGTGCTGGGATTAAAGGCATACGCCACCATCATCCGGCTGTTACCATTTTGAGATAAGGCCTCACCTTGTAGCTCCTCCTCCTGCTTCAGTCTCAGTGCTGTGATGACACTCAAACACACACACTCAGTGCTTTCTTTTGTCATTAGCATTCCTGTCTTCCACAGAATACAGCATGTGATTTTGTTGTTGTTGTTGTTAGGGGCAAGGACAGGAGCAGAAGCACTTCTTAGCTGATTGTTCATCCATGAGTTCTTGCCTTAGTCCCTAGCCATATGCCTCCACTTTAGAACTGGCAGTTCATGCAGCCCAATTCTTTGAAGTCGAAGAATTTTTTTTTAAACATTTATTTATTTCTATTACATATACAGTGTTCTGTCTGCATGTTTTGCCTATACGCCAGAAGAGGGCACCAGATCTCATGATAGATGGTTGTGAGCCACCATGTGGTTGCTGGGAATTGAACTCAGGACCTCTGGAAGAGCAGTCAGAGCCCTTAACCTCTGAGCCCCGAAGAATTTTTTTTTTTCCCAGAATTTGAAATTAACCTATACATCCTCTCCAGCCCCGAAGAATTTTTTTTTTTCCCAGAATTTGAAATTAACCTATACATCCTCTCCAGCCCCGAAGAATTTTTTTTTTTCCCAGAATTTGAAATTAACCTATACATCCTGGATTTTAACCTCCCTGAGTCGCATGAACAAGCACGGATGTTGAAATACTTGTGGGCAATTTTGAACAGCTTCCTTTGTCTTGTGGGAAGACAGTTGCAGGACTCTAAGCAGCAGCTGGTCTGATGTCACAGTGATGTTGGATCTTCCTGTGCTCTCAGCAGAAGAAAAAGTCATTACAGCTGCAGACTGTCC